GGGCGCTCTACTCAGGCCGCGCCAGCAAGCAAGCACGTCGCTGGGACGCGGTGTGCTCGACGCGATGCACGCTATGTGCATGCATATAGGCGCGGAGACTGAAGCTTCAATTGTAAATGGAGCGGCGCCTTGAAGTCGAATTTCAGCAGACAATCTCTTCAAGATACAAATAAAGGGTCAGTCATTACAAGATTTTGAATCAAAACCAGGAAGCTTTCTGAACTTGACCCCGGAGCTGATTGATGCATGCATGGCGCTGCTGCCCGTTGAGCTGGGAAGCAGCAGCAGCATGCGCGCAGCTAGGCGTGCACGGCTACATGAAGGCGCGAGTGTGAGTCTGGAGGTTGAGCGAAAGGTCTCTCCATCCAGACAGCAAGCAGCAGCTTCATCTTCAACCCGAGTGACTAAATGGGGGGCCCTCGCCGTGCTTCAACGCTTTCGCATTCACGAATTACCTTGATTCCCTTTCCACTCCGCGGGCGCGTTGGAGAGCGACGTCTCCACGTATCGCACATTATCCAAGTAGAGCCCATTCTGCCGTCATTCACATTCCGTTCATAAGCTCTCCGAGCGCGCTACCAACCTCTCTCCATCCATCTTGCCTCGTCACGAACAACATCACCCCTGCATCCACGTCCTCCTGTCTCCTTGGCCAGTGCGACGCTCAAAAGAGCTTGAAGCTCTGCTGGACCATACCACTGCTCCTCGCGGTCGAGCTCTCGTGTGCGTCGGCGCCTAGGCCGTCGTTGCTTTTGAGTCTGCCTCTTCGAGCAGCACACGAACGCCTTTGGGCAAGCCCCCTCGTTCAAGGCGATCGCTTCCACTGCAACACCCTTCCTTCAAGCCTACTGTGTGGGCTTTCGACCTCTCAAAGCCGTGCTTGGAGCTGGAACTAGCGATCGATAGCTAGGGTCGCCGTCGCCGTCACCCATCTCAGCTTCATTCCCAGCGCACATTGCAATCATGGCGGAGAAAGCGCTCGCGCCTTACAAGGCCGGTATCAAGGCGTGGTTCACCGACAAGGAGCTGGGATGGATCAGTGCGACGCTGGCCAAGAATGTTAGCGTGTCCAGCTCGGGCGAGATTCTGCTCAGCTTCGTGCTGGATGAAGGCGGGGCTACGAGGGAGGTCAGGACGAACACTTCCAAGCTCAACCAACCTGGCGGCCCAGACGAGATCTTGCCCCCGCTACGCAATCCACCTCTTCTTGAAGCGACGGATGATCTCACCAATCTGTCCTACCTCAACGAGCCCGCAGGTGAGTAGGTGTACCAGCAACCTGGTCGTGCGCGGATACGAGAGAGCCCGTCTGACTGAATCGCTCTCTCTCTCTCTGTCTCCCTCTTCCCCCTTCCCTCAGTCTTGCATGCGATCCTCTCCAGATACAGCCAGCGCCTCATCTACACTTATAGTGGTATCGTCTTGATCGCCGTCAACCCCTTCGACTCTCTCAATCTTTACTCTCCCGAGATCATCCAGGCCTACAGCGGTAGACAGCGTGGTGAGCTGGAGCCACACTTGTTCGCCATAGCCGAGGATGCATACAGATGCATGGTCAGGGATCGCAAGGATCAGACGATTGTCGTCTCGGGCGAAAGGTGAGCGTATGCGAGCGCATATATTCGCCTTTGCAAACTTGGCTGAGGTTGTCCACGCTCGCAATGGCCGTAGTGGTGCTGGTAAGACTGTATCTGCGAAATTTATCATGCGCTACTTTGCGACTGTGGAGGATCCGGACAGGCCAGGTGCGAGGAAGGCAGCCGCGACCAGCGCTGCCAACAGCGGACAGCCAAATGGTGCCAGTGCGAGTGGCATGAGCGAAACGGAAGAGCAGATCTTGGCTACCAACCCCATCATGGAAGCGTTCGGCAACGCAAAGACGACCAGAAACGACAATTCGAGTAGGTTCGGAAAGTACATCGAGATCCTTTTTGACAAGAATCACGAAATCGTTGGCGCCAAGATCCGAACTTATCTCCTGGAGAGGTCCAGATTGGCCTTTCAGCCCACCGAATCTGGCGAGAGGAACTTCCACATCTTCTACCAGCTTTGCGCCGGTGTGCCTACTGGCGAGCGCAAGGATCTCGGGCTGGACGATGCGTCCAAGTTTCACTACCTGAATCAGGGAGGCAATCCAGTCATCGCAGGTGTGAACGATGCGGAAGAATTCAAGGCCACGCAAAAGGCTCTCAGCACAGTAGGAGTCACCATCGAGCGACAGTGGTCCATCTTCAGGTTGCTCGCTGCCTTGCTTCACTTGGGCAACGTCAATATCACCGCTACGAGGACCGACGCGATGCTCGCGGATGACGAGCCATCTTTATTCATCGCGACGCGCATGCTGGGCGTCGATCTGAGCGAGTTCCGCAAGTGGACTGTGCGAAAGCAGATCGTCATGAGAGGCGAAAAGATCGTCTCGAACTTGAGCCAGGCTCAGGCCGTCGTTGTTAGAGATGCCGTCACCAAGTACATCTACACGTGCTTGTTCGACTGGCTTGTTGAGCAGATGAATGACAGTCTCGCTCTCGGTAGCGGCCACTCGCGCGACACCATGATTGGTGTGCTCGACATGTGAGTCCAAGGGTGCTTGAATTCGCAGCGCACACGCACTCGCTGACGCTAATCCTCATGCTCTCAGCTATGGCTTTGAGCGTTTCAAGGTCAATTCATTCGAGCAGTTCTGCATCAACTACGCCAACGAGAGGCTGCAGCACGAGTTCAACCGGCACGTCTTCAAGCTGGAACAGGACGAGTACGTTGCGGAACAGATCGAATGGACGTTCATCGACTTTGCAGACAACCAGCCCACGATCGACATGATTGAGGGAAAGCTCGGAATCTTGTCTTTGCTTGACGAAGAGTCGCGACTCCCGTCCGGGTCAGACGCTAGCTTCCTTCAGAAGCTCTACACACAGCTGGAAAGACGGCCTGAGCTCAAAAACAGCTTCAAGCGACCTAGATTCGGACAGTCTAGCTTTGCGGTCTGCCACTACGCTCTTGACGTGACGTACGAGAGCGAAGGCTTCCTGGAAAAGAACAGGGACACTGTGCCTGATGAACATCTCGCTTTGCTCGGAAACACAAACAATGCGTTCCTCAAGGAGGTGCTAGAAGCGGCTACTGCTCTGGCTCAGGCAGCGAAAGAGCCACCTCCGGCTGCTCCTGCTGACGCCAAGGCCCCGCCCGGACCCCGTCGCTTGGGCGGTGGAGGCATGATCAGGAAGCCTACCCTTGGATCTCAGTTCAAAGCCAGCTTGGTCTCGTTGATGGCGACGATCGAAGCCACAAACGTCCACTACATTCGCTGCATCAAGCCAAACGAGGCCAAAAAAGCCTGGGGCGTCGAGCCGCAGAATGTGCTCGGGCAGCTACGAGCTTGCGGTGTGCTCGAAACCATCCGTATCAGCTGTGCCGGCTACCCCTCCCGTTGGACCTTTGCAGACTTTGCTGAGCGCTACTACATGCTCGTGCCCTCGTCGAAATGGGACATGAGCACGATGGCCAAGGTGCAGAATCTGGCCATTACCATTCTCAGGAGCACCATCCAGGAGGAGGACAAGTATCAGATCGGTCTCTCCAAGATCTTCTTCCGCGCCGGTATGCTTGCTCACTTTGAGCAGCGCCGCGGCGATCGTCTCAATCAGCTCGTCACGCTCATCCAGAAGAATCTGCGCCGCAATCATCAACGCAAGCGTTTCCTGCAACTTCGCGATGGCACGATCCGCCTGCAGACCTGGTGGCGCATGGTGTCTGCCAAACGCTACGTGGACAAGCTCAGGCGCGAAAACGCCGCTCTGCGCATACAGACTGCTACGCGAGGTTTCATTGCGCGTCAAAAGCATCTCCGCATGCTCAGAACCGTTGTGGCCATCCAGAGCATCGCGAGAGGACGAAAGATTCGGTCGACTTTTGTTGGCGACAAGCAAAATTTTGCGGCGACTCGTCTGCAGAGCTTGCTGCGCGGAGCGCTTGTCCGCCGCAAAGCTCGTGCAGACACGAGAGGTATCATTCTGCTGCAGAGCTTGTACCGCCGTCGCCTCGCCAAGAGGGAGCTGGTTGGGCTGCGAAACGAGGCCAAGTCTGCCAACCACTTCAAGGTCATCTCTGGCCGTCTCGAGAACAAGGTTGTCGAGCTTACACAAAGCCTCCAGTCTCGCACCAAGGCGAACAAGGAGCTCAGCAACAAGATCAGAGCGCTCGAGGAGCAGGTCAAAGCCTGGCAGGAGCGACACGGCGAACTCGATTCGCGCGCTCGTGGCTTGGAAGAGGAACTCGCCAAGCCCACAGTGGCAACCGCCGAATTTGAGACACTCCTTGCAGAGAAGAGGGACATTGAGGCACAACATTCAGCCTCGATGAGGCGCGTCGCGGAGCACGAAGCCAAGGTTGCCCAGCTAGAGGAAGAGCTTCGCGTTCAGGCAAAGGAGCTGGAGGCGCGCCAGACTGCACTCAACAGCAGGAGCAAGACGTCGGACGAGGACTCGGCTACAATCACCAGCCTGCGCAACGAGGTCAGCACATTGCGAGCAGAGGTCAATAGGGCCAATGCATTGGCGACGCTGTCCAAGAATCAACAACGTATCGAGAATGCTGCGCCACCCGTGTTCAACATGGCCACTGGCAAGGACGGCTTCCAGTCTCAGGGAAAGAGACGTGCTCGAAGACACTCCGAAACTGGACCTTGGCAAGACGGCGTTGCTGCTGCCCACCCCGACGATCAGGAAATGTCGGCAGTGAAGCGAAGCGTCGCGCACGCCAACAGGCATGTGAGCATGGCCTTTGGGCCAGGTCAAGGCCCTCGTGCCGAGGAGTTCGACGAGGAGGCTGCAGCTCAGGATCAGATCATTGCTATCCTCGAAGATGAAGAAGGCCTGGATCGAGATGTGCTCGACACGATGATCCGCAACCTCAGGCCGCCAGCTCCGAGCATCCAGAACCCGCCTTCGCCCAAGGAGGTCTTCTTCCCTGCGCACGTTGCCATCAGCTTGCCCGTCAACGAGCTGTGGAAGTACGGCATGATCAGGGAATCGGAGAGATTCCTGGCCAACGTCATGCAAACTGTTCAGCAACACGTCATGTCGTATCAGGGAGAAGATGCTATTGTTCCTGGCATCTTTTGGTTGTCCAACGTGCACGAGATCCTCTCCTTTGTTTGCATTGCCGAGTCGGACATGCTGCAGGGTATCGGACCGGGCATGGATGGCGCCGCTCGACCTTTCGAGTGGGGCGACTACGAACGGCTCGTCACGATCGTCAAGCACGACTTGGACAGTCTGGAGTACAACATCTACCACACCTTTATGCAAGAGACGAAGAAGCGTCTGCACAAGATCGTCGTGCCGGCGCTCATCGAAAGTCAGAGCTTGCCGGGCTTCGTGACCAGCGACTCGGGCGGCCGGCTGTTCAACCGCTTGATATCTGGCGCTTCTACCCCTGCTTACACCATGGATGATATCCTCGGTATCCTGAACAAGGTTTGGAAGAGCCTCAAGAGCTACTACGTCGAGCCAAGCGTTACCAGCCAGTGTATCAGCGAGCTGCTGAAGCTGATCGGTGTCACCGCGTTCAAGTGAGTCGATATTCGTAAAGCTCGAGGTACGCCTGCCCACCACTGATTCATTCGACACGTTGGTGGCCCGCAGCGACATTCTGATGAGGAGAAATTTCTGCAGCTGGAAGCGCGCGATGCAAGTCCAGTACAACATGTAAGTTTCACGCACCGTCTAGACTCAGTGCGCCTCCCGCTGACACCCTGCCTCCTGCTTCTTGTTGACAGCACGCGATTGGAAGAGTGGTGCAAATCGCATGACATGCCGGAGGGTACTCTGCAGTTGGAGCACCTGATGCAGGCCACCAAGCTGTTGCAACTCAAAAAGGTAGGCGCGGTGCGGCAGGGTCTTGCGTCGACGCTAGAAACTCATGCGTACACTTGTCAACCCGCAGGCAACGCTTGGCGACATCGACATCATCTACGACGTGTGCTGGATGCTCACTCCTACTCAGATCCAAAAGCTGATCAGCCAGTACTCTGTGGCGGACTACGAGGTGCGTCGGCGGACGCGAGACCATTCCGTTGTTGACGCGATCAAATGCTGATCAGCTCGCTACGCATGTCTGCACTCAGAATCCCATCTCTCCCGAGATCCTCAAGGCTGTAGCTTCTCGTGTTGTTCCTGGCGATCGCAATGATCACCTCCTGCTGCCGCCCGAAGTTGACGAAGCGTGAGTAAGAATGCAGGGGTCCACACTCAATGGATCGTGATGGAACATCTCGCTGATCTTATCGCTACCATCAGTGGACC